TCTAAAATGGAACTTATATTTCCTTTCTTGTGACCTTTAACCTCTCTGGAACTCAGTTTCCCCATCTGTAAAACTAGGTAGACTTTGAGGTTACTTCCTTCTCTAAACCTATGAGGTGATGATACAATACTTTGTATAATTTGAATGTATTTTTATAAACTCATCTGTACACATGTTCTATCTTACCCAGTACCATATAAACTCCTTGAAGAGACTGTGGGCACTTAATGTTTGTTGAATTGAACTGAATGTAATTGAATGAAGTGGCAGATCAAGGAGACACCTTAGAACATGGAATAGTAGTCAGTCAATGAGCCATTGTTGAGGACTTACTATGGCCTAAGCACTGTACTAAACACTGAGGCTACAAAGAGAGGCAAAAGTCAATCCCTGCTTTCAAGGAGCTTATAGACTGATGGGGGAAACCATATGCAAACAACCATGTGTGAACAAGCTGTGGACAAGATAAATTGAAAATGATCACCAGAGGGAAAGGGCTGAAATGAAAGGAGAAGGTGGGACTTTTTTTTTTTGTAAATAGTATTTTATTTTTTCTAATTACAAGTAAAGATAGTTTTCAACATTCTTTTTTTTTTAAATAAGATTTTGAGTTCCAAATTTTTCTCCCTTTCTTCCTTTCCCTTCCCCTCTCCAAGACAGCAAACAGTCTGGTTTAGCTTACATATGTGCAATCATATAAACGTATTTCCACGTTAGTCATGTTGTGAAAGAAAAAACAACAAAAGGGAAAAACCACAAAAAAAGAAAACAAGACAAAGTGAAAATAGTATGCTTCAACTTGCATTTAGACTCCATAGTTATTTCTTTGGATGTAGATAGCATTTTCCATCATGAGTCTTTTGAAATTGTCCTGGATCACCATATTGCTTAGAAAAGCTAAGTCTATCATAGTTGATCATTGCACAGTGTCTCTGTTACTATGTACAATGTTCTCCTGATTCTACTCACCTCACTCAGCATCAGTTCATGTAAGTCTTTCCAGGTTTTTCTGAAGTCAGACTGTTCATCATTTCTTATAGCACAATAGTATTCCATCACATTCATATACCACAACTTGCTCAGACATTCCCCAATTTTTGGGCATCCTCTCAATTTCCATTTTTTTGCCACCACAAAAAGAGCTGCTATAAACATCTTTGTACAAGTAGATCCTTTTCCCTTTTTTATGATCTCTTTAGGATATAGACCTAGCAGTGGTATTGCTGGATCAAAGAGTATGCACAATTTTATAGCCCTTTGGGCATAGTTCTAAATTGCTCTACAGAATGATTGGATCAGTGCAGAACTCCACCAACTATGCATCAGTGTGCTAATTTTCCCACATCTTCTCCAACATTTATCATTTTCCTTTTCTGTCATATTAGCCAATCTGATAACTATGAAATGGTACCTCAGAATTGTTTAATTTGCATTTCTCTAATAAATAGTGATGTAGAGCACTTTTTCATATGACTATAGATGGCTTTAATTTCTTCATCTGAAAACTGCCTATTCATATCCTTTGACCACTTATCAATTGGGGAATGACTTGTATTCTTATAAATTTGACTCAGTTCTCTATATTTTTGAGAAATGAGGCCTTTATCAGAGACATTTGATGTAAAAATTGTTTCCCAGATTTCTGCTTTCCTTCTAATCTTGGTTACACTGATATTGTTTGTGCAAAACCTTTTTAATTAAATGTAATCAAAATTATCCATTTTGCATTTCATAATGTTTTCTATCTTTTGTTTGGTCATAAATCTGATGGGTAAACTATTCCTTGCTCTCCTAATTTGCTTATGGTATCACCCTTTATGTCTAAATCAGGTACCCATTTTAACCTTTTCTAGGTATATGATGTGAGATGTTGGTCAATGCTTAGTTTCTGCCATACTACTTTCCAGTTTTCCCAGAAGTTTTAATTAAGTAGTGAGTTCTTATCCCAGAAGCTGAAGTCTTTGGGTTCATCAAACAGTAGATTAGTACTGTAATTTACCACTGTGTCTTGTGTACCTAACCTCTTTCTCTGATTCACCACTATTTCTTAGCCAGTAGTAGATAGTTTTGATGATTACCACTCTATAATATAGTTTTGGATCTGGTATAGCTAGGGGAAGGGGGAACTTTGAAAAATACCATGGAAGCCAGAAGGAGGAGATGAAGAAGGAGGGCATTCCAGTCATGGGGAATAGCCAATGAAGATGACCAGAGTTGGGAGGTGTGTCTTGTGTGAGAAACATGGAAGCCAGCATCCTTTGATTATAGAGGATGTGGGGTGGGGGTGGGGGAGAAGTAAGTTGCAAGAAAGGGAGAAGGGGGCCAGGCTTTGAAAGGCTTCTAATGCTGAAGAGATTTGCTATTTGATCCTGGAGGTGATAGGGACCTACTGGAATTTATTGTGTAGGGGCAGGGCTGACATGGTCAGATAAACTTTAGGAAAATAACTTTGGCATTGGAGTGGAGGATGGCCTGGAGTGGGAAGAGAGCTGAGTGAGACAGGGAGACCCACCAGCAAGCTACATAATCAAGGTATGAGGTTGTAAGGGCTTGTACCTGAGTGGTGGTATTGTTAGAGCTTTGAAGCACTTTAGAACAGAGAACGTCAGAGCTGAAAGGGCCCTTAGAACAGGGAATGTCAGGGCTGGGAGGGCCCTTAGAATAGGGAATGTCAGCACCTAGGAAAGATTTTGGAGACCATGTAATCCAAATCCCTTGCTTACAAATAAGGAAATTGGGATAGAGAGGGGCTGTGACTTACCTGGTCATATAGTTGACTTTTGGGAAGTTAGGGACTCCCCAGAGCACATTGGCAGTTGAAGGGTCTCTGACTTCCCTAGGGCATCTCTTCCCTTTCTTGAAGCAGATAGCATCTTTTCAATGCATGAGTTGTTGGGGATGTTCTCTGGATGGCAGGCACATCACTGGGGCTTCAATGAAAGCCTCTCCAGCTTGGGGGGGTCCTTCCAATGTTTATTCTCAGCTGGCATCACCTTTGAAACCCAAGGGCACTTTTGTACAATGATGTACCAGAGGGGGAACACTAATCACTACCATTGACATTGAACATTGTGGTCGACAAAGTCTTTCTCACACAGAACACAGTGGAATAGGTAAAAGGACATGGAAGTCTACCTTGCCTATAGGACCCTCCCCTTCCCTACTTCCCAGCAGTGGTGTGATGCATTAGAGGGGTCTGAGGGCCTGGGTTCAGATCCCACATCTGCTTCTTACTGCCTACTTGACTTTGGGCAAGTAACTGGAGTACTCTGGGCCTCAGTTTCCTCCTTTATAAAGTGATAGGAGTTAAAGTAGATGATCTCTAAAGTTTCTTCCATTTTAAATCTATTTGTTCTATGAAACACAAATTGTGATAACAATTCCCTCCTTCATCCTCCCTCCCCAATACCAAGCAAACCAGAAACAAAAGAAATTCCCAGTGACTGTGGAAAGAATGATGGCGAAGGAATGGTATCTTTTTTTTTTTTTAGAAAATTGGGGTTAAGTGACTTGCCCAGGGTCACACAGCTAGTAAGTGTCAAGTGTTTGATCTGAAGCTGGATTTGAACTCAGGTCCTCCTGACTTCAGGGCTGTTGCTCTATCCACTGCACCACCTAGCTGCCCCTCTATGATGAAGGAATGGAAGGGAATGTTGTTAGGTTGTGAGAAATGACCAATATGAAGAATTCAGAGGTATCCTTGGGAACTGATGTGGAACTGAGGGGCAAGAAAAAAGCAGAGACCAAAGGCCCACAGGCACACTGACCAGATATAGATTCACATCAAGGAGCTCATATAACCTTTCTTGTGACCTTTAACCTCTCTGGACCTCAGTTTCCCCATCTGTAAAATGAGGAAGTTGAACTAGGTAGACTTTGAGGTTACTTCCTTCTCTAAACTTACAAGGTAATGATATGATACTTTGTATAATTTGAATATATATTTTATATACTTCTCTGTACACATATTCTATTTACCCTGTACCATTGTCCCCTTCTTATTTTTGTGCCCGCTCAGATTCTAGTATGCAGTATGCACTTAATGTTTGTTGAGTTGAATTGAATGTAATTGAATTGAGTGGCAGAGCAGGGAGGCACTGTGTCACATCAAGAACTCACAGGAATCTCAGAGGGTCACGGAGCCAAGCAGTCCCATTGGGTCATTACAGAATAAAAACCAAGATGCCCAGCTTTTGTGGGGGAAAGAACAATTGTTCACTAAGTCTGTGGATACACACAATCAGTTAAAAGGCTCTTTTTGCTTCGTGCTGATAATTTTTTTCATACATTCTTTCTTGATGAAAATACTTGCGTATTTGAATGGAAGGCTGTTTTTTTCCTAATTACACCTGCTTTGGAAACTTCCCCACCAAAAGTCCCCCCAAAACAAAGAACATGAAATTTCAGAGCTGGAAGGAGCCATAAAAATTACCCAGACTGACTTCTTCTTAAAGATGGGAAAACTGAGACCCAGAGAAGGGTAGTTGATTTCCCCAAGCTAGCTAGGGAGAGAACAGTGTTTTCTAACCTGATAACAACTTGGCCTGAGTGGTCTCCACATTCTTTCCTAGGTCCAACAAACTCTGTTTTAAGGTTTCTACTTGTCCTGGAAATCTCAGTTCTAAGGTCCCTCCTGATCTATCCCTGACATTCTGTGTTCTAAGTTCTGTCAGCTCCGACATGACCTCTGTCTTCTAAGGTCCCTTCCCTGACATTCTTTATCCGCCTTCTCTCCCAGTTCTGAAATTCTGTGTTCTAAGGGCCCTTCCATCCCTGACATTCTGTGTTCCAAAGGCCCTTGTAGCTCTGACACAGTGTATTCTAAGTTTCTTCTCATTTCTGATATTCCCTGATCTAAGGTCCTTCCCATCTCTGATATTGCCTGTTCTAAGGGCCCATACTGTTCCCATACTTGACATTCCCTCTTCTAAGGGCCATCCCAGCCCTATTATGATACCCTATCTTCTATTTACAAAAATAACATCATGACCCAGTGATAGTAAGGTTCTGTTAATACTACATTTGACTTCTTCTTTCAGTAACAACACCATGTATCTTGTTCCTCTTCCATTCTCTTCCTCACAAAGGCTATTTTTGAAACTTGATCTCAGCATACTCAGTGCCAGCATATGCAGACTCCTGGGGATTTTGGGGGCTCAGCTTCTGGAAGCTGAGGCAGGCATAATGCAGCTCGGGTCCCTCCTTAGAGGTGGGGCGTGATGTGTCATGGGGTGGGGGTCTCAGGGAACTTTTCAACCTCAGTATCCCATCTGGAGCCTGTGAGGAGAGGAAATGGTGTAAGGGTGGCTCATAGGGTCCTGGGGCAAGAGGGTGATTGGATAGAAACAGTTGGAGGAAGAAAGACTGGAAGACATTTTCTGTTCTTGAAAGGTGGCCTCTTTCTTCCCTCCGGCTAGATGAGACCACTTCTCTTACGTCTGAACTATAGGGTATTTTTTAAGATTTTTCATACTCCCTCACAGGCCACATTCAGAGTTATTGAGGAGTGGCCCCTATTCTCCCCGGCTCTTGAACCCTTCCACATTGGTAACTCCATAACCCCTGGCAAGAGAGGTCCAGCTCTTCTATCTTAACTGTCAACTAGGTGTTTGATGGTTTTCTCCACTTTTAACAGGGCACATTCCAGATCTGGGGGTAGGGAAGGGGAATAGAGAGGGACAGCCCCTGTGGCTCTTCCTCTGACACCATTCCTTCTATGACCTCCAGGAGGATTCCAATTCCCCAGTTGTAATGACGCTGATGTGGGCAACCCTTTTCTTCTTTAGATTTTCACATCACAGATTAGATTTTTTCCCCCACAAAAGAGTTTGACTAGTCACTAAGATAAAATAAAACAAACTCACAGAGTGCAGAATAATAACAACAATAATAAAGACAGATAATGGATAAGGCAGAAATGGAAACAGTTATGCCCGAATTACTCACAAGGGGGATGGCCTCTGAGGGAAGGTGCCTGTTATCCTCAATGGCTTCAGCCTCTGCTGATTTCCTCTTAAGAATCTTCACCCTGATTAGATGAATGCATAGTGACCAGAGATTAGGGCTTATTCTCTATGCCCCTCATCCCTTCATCCGCCCCTTTGAGACCCCTGGTATGGCTGGGATTAAGACAACAATACTTTCTAGGAGAAAAAACTGTGGAGAAGTAGCCAGACAATTAGTAAAAGGAAAGAGCTTTTAAAAGATTCTGAAGATAACACCCACTGAAAGTCAAAGTGGACTGAGAATCGTGGAATTTGAGAGTTGGAATGGACCTTAAAGTTGATCTAGTGCAACTCATAGCTAAGCCAAAACCCATTCTACCATATGCCCAAGAAAAAACCATTCAGCCTCCAGTTGAAAATCTCCAGCAATGGGGAACTCACTACCATACAAGGCAACTCATTCTGCTTTTAGACACCTCCGATAATGAGGAAATTGCTTGTGATGTGAAGTTGAAATCAGCCTCTCTGTTCTTTGGTCTAGGGTCTGAAGAGAATGAATCTAATTCCTCCCCTCTATTTTATGCCATTTAGGTATTTGAGGACAGCTAATATAGACTCCCTATGTCTTTTATTTATTCTTCAGGCTCAGTAGTCTCATTTCCTTCTGAATTCCTGGTTTCTAGGTCCATCCTCATCCTGATCATCCTCCTTTGGACAAGCTCTTTTCTCTCTTAAAATGTGACAACCAAAACAAAGTAGAATACTCCTGCCATGGGATGACCAGGACTGAAAGCAAAGGGACTGTGATTTCCTTCATTCTGGATCATGCTTCTGTTTATGTAGCCACAAGTCCCTTTAGCTGTTCTCATAGCCATGTCACACTCTTAACTTAATGAGCTTAAAACCCCCTAAAAAATCTCATGAGTTTTTTTTCCAACACAAATTGCTGCCTAGTTTCACCTCCCTTATGCTAGACTGCTACAATTGATTTTTTGGACCTATGCAGAACTTTACATTGATCGTTATTCATTTTGATGTTTAACCCTATCCATCTCAAGGGCTCAAAACTCCTGATTGATGGACACTCCCCATAGGGGGGGAAGGGGACAATATTTGGCCTTGGAAAACATTTCCAAGATATAAAATGATCTTATTGTCATTTATTATTTAGACCGGGAGTTCTTCCCCCCCCCCGTTATCATTTAAAAAATTTTTTTATTAATTTATTTTGATTTATCAAAAATCACTTCCATGTGCTTTTGAGTTTAAATTTTTTCTCCCCTTTCCTCCCCACCACCCTCCCCAAGACGGTGCACAATCTGATATAGGCTACATATATACATTCTTATTAAACATATTTTCAAATTAGTAATGTTGTAAGTAAAAATTAGAACCAATAGGAGAAACCACCAGAAAGAGGAAACAAAACTCAACAGAAAGAAAAAAATAGCAAATAGTATGCTTCGATATGCATTCAAATTCCATAGTTCTTTCTTTGGATGTGGATAGCATTTTTCATCCTGAGGCCTTTGGAGATTAGACTGGGAGTTCTTAACTTGGGAGTTCTTAACTTGGATAGATTTCAGGGGTTTATAAACTTAAATGTGAAAAATGATATCTTTATTTAAAATACAATTGTTTTCCTTTGTAATTCTATATATTTTATGCATTTAAAAACCTTATTCTGAGAAGTGTCTTCACCAGATTGCCAAAGGGATCCATGACACAAAAAAAAAGTTAAGAATATCTACTTTAAACTATGGATTGGCCAGTGAAGTCACATCAGTCACAGAACCTTTCATGGGGGCAGAAATCCATGGTCATAGTCTTCCAAAAGTGTATAACTCATTCCAGAAAACTCTTGACAGCTTCTTGAGATGTGGACCTTGAGGTTACAAATGTTTACCCCAACACTCCCATCCCTCGCCAGCCCCAACACTCACACAATGATAAGGAGGCCAAGAGCCAAGAAGCCAGTGACAGCAGCCCCATAGGCAGCTCCCATGATCAGTGGTTTCTTGTTCATTTCCGTGCCTTGAGTAGTTCTCTCTGAACACAGAAGGGGATGGGAGTGAATTAATCAATCAATAGACATTTATTTGACACTTTTTAGTCACTGTTCTAGGCATAAATCCTGCCTTCAAGAAACTCAAATTCTATCAGTTGAAGGAACATGTTCACATATAAGTAGATACCAAATATCTGCAAAGTAAAGACAAGATTTTTTTTTCTTTTTGTGGAGGGGGAATGATGGAAAGAATTATTAGCAGGGTAAGGAGGTGGGGAAGTAGGGATCAGGAAAAGTCTCATGTAAGAGGTAATACCTGAGCTGAGCTTTCTAGAAGGCAGAGATAGGGAAGTAAGTGCATTCTCAAAATGAGGGACAGACTGGTCAAAGGCATGGAGATGGGAGATGGGATGTGGTGTGTTAGCAAGTAGGGCAATTTGAACAAGATGTAGGGTTTGGGAAGAGGAGTGAGATGCAATAAGCCTGGAAAGGAAGACGAGTCAGATTGTGAAGAGCTGTCAAAGCCAAACAGCAGATTTCTGATTTAGATGACAAACAACTTGGAAAGAATTTAAAATTCTGTTCAATGTAATGACCAGCCACGATTCCAGAAAACTTATAATGAGTTATGCTGCCCACTTTCTGACAAAGGGGTGATTATCTCAGAAAACAGATTGAGACATTTCCCCTCTTAAAAATAGCCAATGAGGGAATTTGTTTTGCCAGACTATACATGTCCATAACAGGAGCTTTGCTTTTCTTTCTCTTTCAATGGGAGGAGGAGATGGAAGAGAGAGAGACGGTGAATTTTCATTTAAAAAATATAATTTAAAAATATGTGACTGCCTATTTTGAGGCTATTGCAACCTACCCCAACAACAATCTACAAATAGCACCAGACCAAATAATGACCAAGAAGTCCAAAGAGAAACCACCAAAAACAAAAATGAAATCATCCAGCCTAGAACTGCCTAAAATATAAGCCAGAAGCCCACGGCCAACAGGAAAGGGAACCTGACAGAAAAGGTAGGCCGGCATAGGTGAACAAAATTGAAGCCTCGTGGCATCTCAGAGACTAGCCAGGGACATTTCAAACTTGCTTCACCCTCTCTCCAGAGACAGCAAGAGTAGAAGCCTTGGAATAAAAAAAAAATCCCAGAATGGTTAGAAATACACATTCCTCTGACTTTGGAAGCAGTCAAGAGTGGTAGACATCAGTCCTCGATGGAAATATTCAGACTTAGGATACCCCAGATCTAAGGACATTGGAGGTCAAAGGCCTTGAAGATATATCTCTATGAATCTCAAAGATCAATGAGTGAAGAGACACCCTAGGAGGTGGAGGTCAGTGCAGAAATACAAGTGAACCTGGTCAAGACCACAGTAGGTCAATTACCTCAGTCAAAATTTTACCAGGAAACAGATACTGGCCCAGGCATGAAGCCTTAATTCAGAAACGTATATATATGTGTGTGTATATACATATATATACACATATATACGTGTGTATGTATGTATATATGTATAGCTTTTTGGTGAGGCAATTAAGATTAAGTGACTTGCCAAGGGTCACACAGCTAGAAAGTGTCAAGTGTCTGAGGTTGGCTTTGAACTCGGGTCCTCCTGATTCCAAGGCCGCAGCTCTATTCACTATGCTACCTACCTGCCCCCACTATATTTCAAGAAAAGAATCCATCCACCACCTCTTGAAAGAAACTCCAAGAAGAAAACTCCCAGGAATGTCATGCTAAAGAACTACAGCGAAAATCACACAGGCCTTGGCAGCTACCATAAATGAGAGCAGATCTTGGTATACAGTACCCTAAAGGGCAAAAGAGAAAGGCAAATAAGCAAGAGTAACTTATCCCATAAAGCTAAATGAATCAGATTACTGGGAGAAATAGAAAGTAAAATTGTAATAGTTAGAGATCTCAATGGGTCTCTTTAAAAACTAGATATAATTAACCAAAACAGATAAGTAAAAGAGAAATTAAGACAGTACAGGAGAAAAAAAAAACTTTTAATGGGATAGAGGTTTTTCAAGTTTTCCTGATGACAAGATCAGAATTTAGTAGAAACTTCAAAATGCAAAAAAGCAAATTCTAGAAAGGTAAATGTGTAGCATGTCCCGAAAGTCTTAGTGCAGTTACCAAAATATATATAGGAACTTGATTGAAATATATAGGAAGAGTCATTCTGTAATAGATAATGTTCAAAGGATATGAACAGGTAGTTCTCAAAGGATGAATGAAATCAATCATCAACAGTCATATTTTAAAGTTGCAAATTACTAATATTAAGAGATTTGCAAATCAAAACAACTCTAAGTCAACCCTAAATCCACCAGATTGGCAAAGTTGACAGAAAAATCACCATTGTTGAAGGGAATATGGGAAGACAGGCATACTAATAATGCACTAATAATGTAGAACTGGACACTTTGGACCCTGTGATAATATTACTAGGCTTATATCCCCTACAAAGAGATCAAAGAAAGAGGGAAAGGTCACAAAAGCACAAAAAAAGTCATAGCAGCTTTCCAGCATTTCAACGAAGAATTGGAAACTGAGGAGGAGGAAACATAGTGGCTGAACAAATTATAGAATAAGATTAATGTGGTATGTGGGTAAACTCAAAGAATGGACATATTGATTATATAACAATAGAAGTGACATTACTAGAAAAGGATCCGGTTGGTGCAGTTTTTTTTTCCCTACAAGGTGTAGGAGAAGGTATAAGAAACTTGGACCCACAGTTGTCACTGAGTCAGGGGCATCCAGACTGATTTTGCCTTCTCCTGGGAAAACCTGTAGGGAGGGAGAATTTTAGGTGCCTCCCCAGATCCTGAGGCCCCCAACTGTCTGTCAATGCTCATCTACCACCACTTACATCCCCTCTATGTCACAAATAGGGTTAGTAGAAGCAGGTAAACCAGCATCTCTGAGGCTAGAGAAGAGACCCAGGCTTTGTCCCAGAACTTCAAATGAAACCCCAGCATCTTTGAGTATGTCAGTCTGCCTGTCCAGGAAGAGAAAGACCTAAGGAAGTCATTTTATGAAGAAAGAAAGGGCCTGTAAGGAACTTAATCCTGGGAACCAGGGAAAGGAGTTTTTAGTGACTGCTGCACCTGGCTTAGCTTTGGCAGACCCAGACCCAGAAGAATAGGAACCACAGTGCAGTCACATTGAGGAAGCTGGGGATGTTCTCACTCTGGGGAGGGAAACAAGGAGGAAGAAGTAAAATACTCAAGAAGGTCTGGCCTAGATTAGTGAAGGAGTTGTGCTTCAGACCTCCTGCACAGACCAGGAGTATACTATGTGAATGTGGACTCCCATTGTGCCCAAAGAAATAGGGAAATCTTGGTTTTAGAGAATCTTTGGAAGACTTGCATGGACAGATACAGAGTGAAATGAGCAGAAGCCAGAGAACAATTTATACAATGTCAATAGCATCAGACTGTGAGCTCCTGGAGAGCAGGGATCATCTTTTGCCTGTCTTTGTCATCTCCAGAGCTTAACACAGTGCCTGGCATTTAGTAGGCACTTAACGTTTGTTGACTGACTTCCAGTAGTATAAAGAAAAATAATTTTGAAAGACTTAAGAACTTTGACCCAAAGCAGTGACCAACCAAGGTTCCAGAGGAAGGAAAGAAATGAGTATTTATATAGTGCCTACTACATGCCAGGCACTGTGCTAAGCACTTTACAAATATTATCTCATTTTTAACTTCGTAACAACTCTGGGAAATGGGTGCTATTATTGTCCTCATTTTATAGTTGAGGAAACTGGTGCAGACAGAGGGCAAATGATTTGCCCAGGGTCACACAGCTGCTAAGTGTCTAAGGCTGGATTTGAACTCAGGTCTTTCTGGTTCCTAGCATTCTATCCATTGTGCTTCCCCTTACAGAGGGGCAGTGCAATCAAGATGTGGATGAGACACAAATATGTGGACGTGGTGAATATATGGACCATATTTGTTAATACATAGTATTGTTTTTGACAAGTGATGGTAGAATGTCCCCCCAACCTCCCCTCCAAAAAAAAGAAGGAGATGAAGAGGAAAAAGAAGGGGGTCATTGAAGCCTTTTTCAGAATGCCAGGAAGACAACAAAAGGATGGGAGCAGATGGTCAGACAAGCAGGAAGGCTTTTAAAGCAACGTGTTGGACTTCTCATATTCTTTAAACAAGCAAGCTGTGCGGAACAAAGATTTGTGGTTTCATATACTATTCTTTTTTGCACTCTCCTATTTACACAGAAATGCTATTTTTAGGTGTTTATGAAGTTCATAATTTAAAAAAAAAATAACAACTTTTAAGCACAAAATAAAAAGCCCAGCTGAAAAAACTACTTTGTCCCTAAAGCGAAGCAATCCCCTTGAAGTTCCTTAAGCAGGTGGTGACAGGATCAGCCCTGTGTTTTCTGAATATCCATTAGGCAGCTGTGTAGATTGGAGAGGAAAGACACTGGGGCAGTGCGATTCATTAGGGCGCCCTAAATGAGGTCCTTGTGGTGTGTGGGGACCCAAGCATCCAGCCTGCCAGCCCTATTGCTGGCAGGACCACTTCCCTCCCCAAGGTCCTCACCTGGAACCAGCAGGATGCTGACACTGTGTGTCCCATGACGGTTCTTCCCCTCACAGCGGAGGCGGAGGGCAGGATCTGGCTTTTGCATCAAATTCAGGCTACTATTGGTCCAGACCCCTGAGGTAGTGGACACCACCTGGAGGGTGTCATTGCTGCTGCTGTCCAGCACAGGGCTCTCCCCCAGCCACCAGCACAGAGAGGGGGCTGGCTCGCCCTGGACAGAACAGGCACAGAGCAAGCCTTCCTCAGTCCAGGAACAAGAGGAGCTGAGAGGCTTCGGGGGGTCTGTTGGGAATGAGGGAAGAGATGTGAGCTTGTAGGACATTCTTGCCCTCCTTATTTCCCCAGTTCCCATGCCACCCCCACCTCCATTCTCAGTCTCTCTCACTCACACTGCACAGAGAGCATCAGGGAGGCCTTCCTGGACCTCGGTGGGGCCTGAGTTTGGCAGGTGTACTCTCCAGAGTCGCTTGGCCCCACCTGGTCAAGTTGCAAGTTCACAACCCCAGCAGCTGAAAGCTGGGAGGAGGTCAGAGTTCGCTTCCCCTTGGTCCAGTTCAGAGAGACGGCCGGGTTACTGTCAGCAGCACAGCTCAGATTCAGGGACTCACCCTCCAAGACCCACAGAAAGGACACATTTCCCAGGAACCTTAGGACTGGGGAGAGAGCAGGCCCAGACAAAGTGATGATAGACCCTGCATCCTCTTCTCCTCCCCTGACTCCCAACACCTGTGCCTGGCTCCCTACCTGGCCAATTTGCCTGGCGAACCTGAATGGTTGGCTTCTTGGGAGGATCTGTAATGGAAACATGGATCAGGAGTGGTTAAGTTTGGAACTTCTCTTCAGAAGTTGGAGAGAAAACAGAAGCCCTCTGTGTACCATCTTCCCTCATCTGGGCCCCAGCTCCTGCCCCCAGAACTTACAGGTGACGTTGAGGTGCACAGTCCTTTCTGAGGTCACACAGGACCTCTTAAAGGTTACTCGACAAGTGATTTTGGTGCCATGGTCCTGGAATTTTGGAGTGAAAGACAGCTTTGAAGAGGCATGGGTCCTGGTGCCAGGACTCTGGGAGGAGAGGGCAGACCCTGTCCAGAGAAAGGTGGGGGAATTTGCCCCCTCACAGGCCCCTGGCATCGTGCAGATCAGAATCCCTTCATCCCCAGCTTTCAGGGTCTCTAGGACTTTGATAACTGGCTTCTCTGTCAAGTCTGGAGGAAGAGAGAAGTGAGTCTTTCCCCAAGGGGGCATGGAATCAATGGGTCCTTTCCCTGTATTCACCTCCCTTCCCCCAGCTCTGTCCCTCCTTTCATGGGCACCCCCAGCTACCCCCAAGCCTTGTGTCACCTACCTGACACATTGACAAACACCTCATTTTTAAACTCAGGTTTTAATTTTCCTTTCTCCACCTTGAGTATGTATTTCCCTGTGTCCAATTTCTGAGCATTCTTGATGGACAGAGTGCAGTTATGGTTCTGGGGATTCCCAATAACACTGAAGCGGTCTCTAAATCTTTCAGATATGTTCAAATAGTGCTTATTGGTGGCCACTAGGATGAGATTGGTTTTTTCCCTCAGGTACCAAAAGAGAAAGATCTGATTGTTGGCTTCGTCCTTTCCAAGGGAGGAAAAGGTACAAGGAACTTGTACACACAGGTTCTGCTGAACCGTCACTGTTTCAAGGACATTTACTTTGAAATCTGCCTCTTCTTGGAGAAGTCCTATGGGGAGGGAGAAACTTAGGAGCTTTTCCAGGCCCTGAGGCACCCTCCCCACACACCCCCACCATCATCTAGTCCTCAACCACCTTGCTCACCCAATTCCAGCATCTGTCACTACTTACTTCCCCGGATGACGGGCAGCAGGAGCAGGCATACCAGCATCCCTGAAGAGACAAGGGTACAGGAAGGATCCAGGCTCCAACCTGGGACCTTCTCCAGCCCCGGCATCTGTGAAAATGTTAGGCGGCCTGTTCAGAAGGAAAGTCAAAGGGAACCACTGGATGAAGAAGGAAAAGCGCCCAGCCTCCAAGGAACCTAACAGTTCTGGGATCCCGGGAGGGGAATTCTCAGAGACTGCTGCATCGGGCTCCACTGTGACAGATCCAGATCCCAAGGGGAGGGACTTCACCAAGGTAGCCACAATGGGGAAGCCGAGGGTTTTCTGCCTTCAGGACAACAAACAAGGAAGAAGTAAAAGTAAATTGCTGATCCAGGCAATGCTGGTGAGGAAGCTCCATCTGGCCCCTGCTGCTGAGAGCGGAGAGTGTTCGTTGGCATGAACAAAATGCAAGTGTTTCTGAGGATGAGAACGAGAAAAGTAGCAATATCAAGGGAAAGTTTCATGCAAAAGTGGGCACGATAAAGACAAAAACAGAAGCAGAAGAGATAAGAAGATGTGGTAAGAAAACACAGAAGAAGTCCACAAGAAAGATCTTAACATCACCAATAACCACAATGGCGTGGCTACTGATCTAGAGCCAGACATCCTGGAGAACAAAGCCAAGTGAGCCTTAGGAAGCATTGCTAACAATAAGGCTAGTGGAGGTGATGAAATTCCAGCTGAGCTATCTAAAACCCTAAAAGATAATGCCATTAAAATGCTGCACTCAATATGCCAGCAAATTTGGAAAATTCACCAGCAGCCACTGGATGGGAAAAGATCAGTTTATGTCCCCGTCCTAAAGAAAGGTAACATCAAGGAATGTTCAAATCACTGAACAAATGCACACATTTCGCACACCAGGAAGGTCATGCTTAAGACTCTGCAGGCTAGGCTTTGGCAATACATGAAGCGAGAATTACCAGGAGAGCAGGCTGATTTTTGAAGACAGAGGAACTAGAGACCAAATTGCCAACAGTCGCTGGAGTATGGAGAAAGCAATGGAGTTCCAGAAAAACCTCTACTTCTGTCTCATTGACTATACTGAAACCTTTGACTGTGTGGATCACAACAAAATGTCACAAGTCCTCAAAGAGATGGGAGGACCACAACATTTTACTTGTCTCCTATGAGGAAACTGTATGAAGACCAAGAAGCAACAGTTAGAACCAAACATGGAACAACTGATTGGTTTAAGATTGGAAAAGGAGTAGGACAAGTCTGTACACCATGACCTATTTATTTACTTTAGATACAGAGAACATCATGAGAAATGCCAGGCTGGATGAATCCAAAGCTGGAATTTAGGTTGCCGAGAGACACATGAACAATCTCAGATATGTAGATGACACTACTCTGATGGCAGAATGGGAAGATGAATTAATAAGGCTCTTGATGAGGGTGAAAGAGGAGAGTGTAAGAGCTGGCTTGAAGCTTAACAGCAAAAGCACTAGGATATTGACAACTGATCTCATCATGTCCTGGCAAATAAAGGGAGAAGAAATGGCAGTGGTGTCGGATTTTATATTCTGGGCTCAAAGATCACTGCAGATGGTGACTGCAGCAGTGAAATTAAAAGACGTTTACTCCTTGGAAGGAAAGCTATGGCAAATCTGGACAGCCTACTGAAAAGCAGAGACATCACCCTGCTGACAAAAGTCCACATAGTCAAAGCTGTGGTTTTTTTCGGTAGCAACATACGGCTATGAGAGTTGGACTATGAGGAAAGCTGAGTGCTGCAAAATTGATGCTTGTGAATGGTGGTGCTGGACTTTTGAGAGTCCCTTGGACAGCAAGGAAGCCAAATCAGTCAATACATAAAGAAATTAATTCAGGCTATTCATGAAAGGCGATCCTAAAAAGACCATGGAGAACGGGAAAGGAACGTTAAATGCACTATCGAAGTCAGGTTTTGTTGTTGTTTTTTTGTTTGTTTTTGGTAATAATAATAATAGCTAGCATTTATATAGTGCCTTAAGGTTTGCAAAGTTCTTCACTAGTATTGTCTCATTTGACCCTCAAACAACCCTGGAAGGTAGGTGTTATTATCCCCATTTTACAGGTGAGGAAACTGAGGCAGACACAGATTAAGTAACTTGCCCAGGGTCACAGAACTAGTAAGAGTCTAAGGCAGGCTGTGAATTTAGGTCTTTCTGACTGTAGGTTCAGCCCCGTATCCATTGTGCCCCTGAACTGCCTGCAAGGATCAGACTGAAGAAGTGAAGAAAGTCTGTCCAGAAATGACTGTGATAGAGTAACAAAAAATTATAAGGAAAAAAAAAAAACCAACTAAGCGAAAAAGTTCCCTTTGCAACCCAGTTGTTCTCTTTTAACCACTTCCCTTTTGTCCCCCTTCCTCTTTGGAATGTTCCTCTTTCTGTTTTCAAATTTCATTCTTGAGGGCTTCTTACTCCTTCTGGTCTGACTTCTCTGAGAGGATATGGGGCCATGGATACCTTTCTTTGAACCTTTGGAAATGTGCTTTTCCCAAATGGATGGTGAATGTCAGCCTGCACTCAGCCTTTCCCTCCCTCTCACAGACTCTTAGTTGGACTTTACTTTCTCTCAGCTCCCTTTATTTTGTTTCCATGGTTAGTTCATCTTTTGTTGAGGACAATGTTTAGAGAAGCCATCCCCCTGCCAGTTCCTCTTTTTTGAAGGGCAAGGGAGACCATTCCTCTTCTCACTTCAATTAATACCGTCTTAGAAGGCCCCAAAAGTTATCAGCTTGAAGGTAGGAGTTTCCTTCTCTTAGTTGATATAGTCCCAGAATCAATTAATAAATGGATCAGAATATCCTCACAAAGTTTGCTAAGGATTTTCCTACAACCCTATAACAATGTGTGAATCTCTCTCTCTCCCCCTCCCTCCCTCTCTATTTCCCTCTCCAGGTCAGAAGCTGAAGGAAAAACACTGTGCTGTACTGGAATCATCTTGTAACTGGCTAAATCTGTCATGCCCCTTGAGATTATAAATGATCAAGGAGCCCATGTTTCTGAGGGCTTGGGGTTGGGGTGGGACTTTCTCTCCTCCTCCTCCATTGGCCATGACATTGAAGCTGTAGGACCTGTAGCAGGTATTGCCAGGAACAGAGCTGCATAGCTAAGGATAGATATGGATTGAGAAAGATAGTTACCCAAGGAATAAACTTCAAATTGCAAGTCCCCTCATGCAGAGAAGAATTCCTGCCATGGACTTAAGATCTCCTGACCCTGTGAGTCCAGCCAAGGAGCACGCCCAGTAAAGACACTGCACCCCATTAGAGATGCTTGAGAACTCTACCAAGAAAGAAAGTGCTTCTGGACCCGGGAGGCAGAGGAATTGAGAGTTGTTTTGGTCACATGTGTTGTTATTTAGTCAATGAGTGGTGTCCAATTCATTGTGACCTCATTTGGGGTTTTCTTGGCAAAAATACTGGTTTGTCATTTCCTTCTCCAGCTCATTTGACCGATGAGGAAACTGAGGCAAACAGGATGAAGTGGCTTGCCCACGGTCATGTAGCTAGTAAGTGTCTGAGACCAGATTTAAACTCAGGTCCTCCTGACTCCAGGGCCAGCACCCCATCCACTGCACCACCTAGAGGCCCTGTTTGGGCACACATGCTTCTTTATATATTGCATTAATACCATGTTGCTTTACGTTTATGTTCACCCTCCTCATGGGCAAGGTGTGTATCCATGAAAGAGTGCTTCCCAGGGGATAGAGAGGGGGAGAGTGTTTTTTGGTAACCACTTTTCTTCCTAAACCAGCTTAGTAAATTATGTGATCAAAGTTTTCTGACTAATTTTCAATGGGAAACACACTGATGAAAGCCTATGGTTATGAATAGCTACCCATAGGGTTAACCCTACAGTAGTTCCTTTTCCCTGGGGACCAAAACAGAAAGTCACGGAAGTAACCCATATGGGGTGCTACAGAAGGAAGAAATAATTATTGGCAGTTCCACTTAGAGAGAAAGAAGGGGAGGAGGGAGGGAGGGAGAGACACACACACACACACACACACAGAGAGAGAGAGAGAGAGAGAGAGAGAGAGAGAGAGAGAGAGAGAGA